AACACTGGTTATTTACACAAAAACTCATAAAAATAAAACAAGAAACGCTAAATAATATATTCATTTTTAATCATAATAAATTGATATAATCTAAATTAAGACAGATTCGTCTAATGATATGTCTTCAATTGTTGACAATTGCTCGTCTTCGTCCATTTCATCGTTATATTTTGGTTTGTGTTACTTTTATATGTATTTAATAGCTTAACATTGTAAGTTAAATATGGTAATTTAGCGGCATTTGTCGTAGTCAGCCGATTTCTTTTTTTGCAGTGCAGCCAACTAAACGCGCTAAAGGTTCTTTCTGTTGCCGCTGATGTTATGGGNGCAGTAAAGCCGGTACGGCGAGAAACTCAATAATCAGCTGATTGACATCACGATAATTTTCTGTTTTGGTAACGGCGGCGGAATATATGTCAAATATAAAGTGTTGCTACTAAACCATAGATGTCACTCATCATAATAATAAGTTCAAAATCAAAAATCGAAATCTCAAAATCTACAAATTTTTAAAAAGATTCTTATATATTTTTGAGGATCATCAATATTATTTAGGGTTATTTAGGGTTACATAGGTTTCGAAAAAATTACTTTTCGTCTTCAGGCGCAACTAAAAACAGAACATCGAAACACAATATGACGTCAAGAAACACAACAGTTAAAATTCTTACCGTCTAAATCGAACGATGGACAGAATTAAAAAACGTTCCAGTTATTTTAAGATTATACAAAAAACGATAAAAACACTACATACAATACAAGAGAAACGTGGTCGGGTCAATATGAAAGGTTACTAACAACCGGTATCTGTAACAATTGTACGTATTGAATATGAAGTCATGGAAAAACTGGTCTTTTTACGAAATTTAGAAACATTCGTGTGTGAGGGACGTCGGTAATTTCATTTAGAGTTATATAATTTGCGTCATTTTTCAATTTAATAACTTCCATCTAGTTTTTTGGATTTAGGGTAGTTATGAAGGAGTAGGATATTTTCGCTGTCTGTTTGATGGTCGTTGTCTCTTAAATGTCTACAGACTGCGGAATTGTCGTTTTTTAGATGTTCTTTAAATCTTACTTTTAAATTTCTGCCCGTTTGTCCAACGGATGCGGCATTACAGACCTTACATAAGATTTTATACACACCATTAAGTTGTAGTTTTTCGAATTTATGTTTACAATTAACTAGAAAGTTAGAAATTTTGTTGTTGTTTTTAGGAGTAATACTAAAATTATAGGTGGACACGACTCTCTGTAGTGAATTAATTATAGGATTGTATTTGGAGACAGAAATGAACCTGTTTGGAGCTGTTCGGTGAGGATACAGTTTGGAAGTGATTAAATTGTTATGGATTTTATAAAAGGTTCGTTGTAAGTCTTCCAATTTGAAACCGTTGTTTAAACCGATATTTATAATGGTGAGAATTTCGTTATTGAAATCTTTTGTACTCATAGGAGTTTTTAAGGCTCTGAGAAATAGGAAATTGAAGGAAGCATATTTGTATTTAAACGGACAGAAAGATTTTTTAGGAATTATTGCATCTGTGGAGGTAGGTTTTCTATAAATTTTGTAATTAAGGCATTTATTAATAGAATCTCTTGAGATGTTTAGATCGAGGAAGTTAATTTGGCCATTATTTTCTCTTTCAATTGTAAATTCAATAGCTCCTACATTGTTGAATAGGTTTAGTAGGGCAATCAAATTGGCCTTTGAACCATCAAATACAATCAGGATGTCGTCCACGTATCTAGCATAAAATTGTATATGTTTTGTTGAGAAATGGTGTTCTTTCTGTTTAAGTATAACTTTTTCTAGATGGTCAACATAGAATTCAGCTAGGAGACCAGATAGTGGTGAACCCATAGGTAAACCGTCTGGCATACAATAAATTTTCTCATCGAAAATGAAAAAGTTTTGTTTGGTAATATTATGTAAGGCGTCCATTAGGTTCGATACATCGAAAAAATTAAAATTATTAGAGTGACTGATGTTATGTAAAAGGAAATTTTCTATTATATTCAAAGTATCTGCTACAGGGATGCTAGCATATAAGTTTTTTATGTCAAACGAGAGTAAAAAAGAATTGTGATTAATTTCAATATCTTTCAGTCTAGCGATCAATTCTGTTGAATTTCTTATTGAATAAGGTGATTGGAAGTGTAACGCCTTGGTTAAGATGTGGTGGATAGCTTTAGCCATCTTGTTGCAAGGAGAATGTATTCCGCTGACAATGGGTCTTATCGTTTTTTGCGGTTTGTGGAGCTTAACCAAACTGTATAACGTAGGGTGTAATGGGTTCATGTTGTTTAGTTTAGTGATGTGAAAATTGAATTTTTCGAATGTAGATTGAGTCCTTTTTAATGTGTCTTTAAATTGTTTTATGAAATCAGGTAGAGGATCTTTTTTTATATGTAAGAAATTATTTTCTCTAAAGAAGTCAAATGTTTTTTCCAGGTATAGACTTTTTTCCATGAAGACCAGACCTGCATTCTTATCACCAAAGGTGCAAACAATATTGCTTTTAGATAGCTTGGATCTCAAGGATTTAATTGTACTGAAAATAATGTTGTCATTGTATAAAACGGTTTTTTGTTTTTTAGGGTGGTTTTCGCTCACATCTTATCAACCATATCAATGCCATCTTTGTTGGCATTATAGTTCAAAGTTAATGAGGGTTTCTTAGTTTCAGTATCTATATGTCCATCATCATACATTGAAGAAAGTAACACCACTGCAATGTTTTCCTTAGACACATAGGACACAACGGTAGCAACAGTTTAGTATTCAAAAATTGGAGAAATTGGAGAAAAAATTCTAGTGGAAGTTCTTTTTTATTTTTTTGGTTTCATCTGATTCATCATGCAGAGAAAGTTCTAGAATCGCATGATATAAAAGTCTTTGATCCCATATTTGGCGAGCTTATTCGGGATATACAGGACAAAGCTACATCTTCCTCTAAATGTTATTAATATTTCATCTATCGTCATAGTTATACCAAATCAGCAATGTTTTTTTATAATTTTGTACAAACTGATCGGGGATAAACAGAATAGCAATTAAGTTTTTTTCCTGTAGGGTATAGAAATCTTATCATCAAATCTTATAGCAGCTAGATAAAATAAAAACTTATTACAATCCATACAAGTTCTAAATATATCTTATCTTGGTCCATCGGTTGTCTACAGCTCTATAAAATTCATATAACATTCGTGTGATTATGTTCTTTAGCTTCAGTTAACAGAAGTATAATACTATAAAAACTATTATTTAATTTTTGGTTGTTTTGAAACTTTTGTGTGCATTCTCTCAATTTCTATATTGGTACATTCTATAATATCGTCAATAACATTATCAGAGAAAAGTTTTTCAAACGCACTACTTACATCTGGAATATTCCTTGAATAAGAAGTTGGGCCAGGAAGTATCCAAACAATATCTTTTTGTCTGATTTTGCTAAACCTACTTGTAAGTGGACTCTTACTCCATTCGGTTTTTTTATCTTTGACTAACAAATATTCCACGTTTGTTTCTTCAACTTCTTCAGTCTCGTTCTGGATATTCACATCCCTTTTTTGGTCTTCCGACTAGTTTGTGCCATAGTTTCCAAACTTTTCATTAATATCCGACTATTAGAGGATCTCTAAAAATATATAATTTTACAAAAAAAATTTGCCAGAAAGTATACTTTATGCACCACAAAGTAACACCCAAAATAATTTAGCAGAACAACAACACTGTAACACTGAAATGTTGCTGGGCGTGGACAGGGAAGGACAAGCGTTTAAACGAAAGGTTAATATTTATGAAGGACTTGTCATTAGTGAGTGGTTCTGTATCTGTACAATTAGTGTATCATTATATGTAAAGAAAAATTTTACTGAAGATGGAAAGATATATCTCTCCGGAGCACATCACAATCAAAAATGTAATAGTGCAGAGAAATTCACAACCAAGATGTTGTTTACTTCAGTATTTATGTTATAAATGCATACTCCTTCTTAGTGTTTGGCATAAATATTGAAGACTCACGTTTGAATTTTCAAAGTTTCGATTAAAATTGAATAGAAGCTGTACCTTCTATGGCAGTATATCAGCGAGTTTGTCGATGACAAAAAAACTACTGTGTCCATAAAAAACATAAATACTTTACATTCAAATATTCGTCGTATTCAAGAGGGTCGCGTTTAAATACCAGCTGTAAGAACTGTATGCAGTACATGCAGTAGTGTTCATTAATAGCTAATTTATAATTATAATCATTGAGGTCTATCTTTTTTATATTAAAAAACTTTGTATTTTTGTGACTGTTGTTATCATTAATATGAGTTTTTATAAGATTGTGAAGCTTTTTCTTTTTATTAGTTTTATCAGCTATTAGTTTGTATACAATTTCTTCTCTGAACTTTGACAAAACGCTCTCAAATTCCAGAAAATGTAATTGCTTACTTAAGATGTTGTGCAGTAGTTTAAGTTTTTGATCCTGAAGTTGTTTCTCTCGGAAGTGTTGCATGATTCTTATCTTAATGAGTCTTCTTTCTAGATCTCTTTTGTGTTGGATGAAGTTCTTGGGGACTTTGATCCTAAAGATGATCCTATTTTCCATCTGTTTTCGTAATTGTCGGAGAATAGTAGCTTGAAGTATAAAAGGAATGTATTTCTCTATAATTCTTCGGAAATTTTAGTTACTAAAATCAACACACTGTATATTTCAAACCTGCAGTTCATACTACTTATTTAAAAAGGAATATTTATTCTTTTACCTGCATGGTCGTTACTTGTATACATTTCCTATAACATAACGAAATATATTATAATATTAATAAAAATAATATTAAATTGAATACGTAATTCTAGATTGAGGATGCCACCTGTTAGCAACACCATGAGATTATCCAGGAACCAACCGAAACCTAAAGTCTGCTTGCGCAACGTTATTTTATGTTATCCCGCCAATATTGCAGAACACCGTTTAGTTTAGGCGCTTCCATAGTGGTAAGATCACGGGTTTTTCGAGATGTCCGATCCAAACCACAAAAACGATATGAATTTAGAAAACCCAGGCGGTTCTAAGAACTATGATGAAAATGCTACAGGTAATTAATAACTTTAAAATATGTTTTGGGGTTGATAATATAATTAATTGATTGCACGTGTTCCATGTAGCTAGCGGCCATTCCCTCGTAGACATAAAGGCATACGTAGCATGTCTTGATAAGTATGACTTAGAAAGACAAAGAGTAGAGGCGCTTTCCGAGATGTCCAGTGAAGTTGAAATGTTAAAAATTTTCGAAGGTAATTTTAATATTTGATAGAAAAAAAGTGCACGTGTTAGCTTTGTTGTTCACTTTTTTTTTATTATGCGTCATCGCATACGAAACAAGGTTAAACACGTTCACGAAGCAAGTATGAACGAATTTTAAAATAAACTTAAAAATTATTTTTATAATTAAATATTAATTTTTGTATAATGACACAAGGGACAGGGGAAGGATCACATCAAAACGGATCTGACAACAACCCGAATGCAGGGCAATTACAATCTGGAGATGATGGTCGACGCCATACTTGTTCCTCTGAGGGAGACTATAGGGCCAATCGTGTATCACCTGTCATCTTTTTTGAAGGTAATTTGTCTAATAAAATTAAATTAAATAGATTTAATTACAAAAATTGAGCCATTTCCTGGCTATTATTATTACTCCAAAAGTTTGTGGCCTCTGGCAACGCAATTACGCAGTTTATGTATGTTCAGCCGTTTCTGACTCGTCCTTGCAAAGTCAACAAGTTTGATACTCAACTTGTCCAATGTGGAAGAGGTGGTATTTTAGGGGCGCATCCCCTTTGCTGAGGCATAAAACCACTTTGGTTTTGTTTTGCGATGGAGTTAATTGCTTGTTTGTGACTTGGAAGTTCTTTCCAGCGTAAGGCTATGTGGGTATGAAATCCACAATATAATAATAATAATATAATTTGAATCGCCGTGCAGGGCACACGTGTTTTGTCGCTGGTGCATTAAAAGTTGTTTTCCTATTTCGGTGCTCTGCTGCACGTTGAAGTATGAGTTTTACCGCTGATAACATCTCCAGTCCGGTTACTTTCGTGGAGGAAGGTAACGCGGATCATTCTAAATCTATCATAAATAACCAACCATCTGATGTTACTGCCATGTCTCAAAAACAATCTTTCGCAACCGCACTCAAAGAAAATAGTTTTGCTTTCCCTGAACGTGAACAAGGAATTGTCTTACGCGTGTGAAGTTGGCCATAGATTTTAAACTGAAAAAAATTCGTGATCGGGGTATTTAATCGATCTAATTTCAACGGCATCGTATTCATGGTCGCCTCTTGTTTCAAATTCGAAAAGAAAATTTTCCTAACCATTTCCAATAGTCTGGGAAAATCGATTTTCTTCAAAATTTCGCAAAATTCGGCCCGTTTGAGGTTTTTAATCGATCTAATTTCAACGGCATCGTATTTCTGGTGGCCTCTTGCTTCAGATCCAAAAAGAAAATTGTCCTAACCATTTCTTATATTCCGGGAAAATCGTTTGTCTTCAAACAATCGCAAATTTTTTCCTGTTCGGGGTTCCTAAACAATCAAATTTCAACGGCATCGTATTCCTAATGGCCTCTTGCTTTAGATCCAAAAAGAAAATTTCCTAACCATTTCTTATATTCCGGAAAAATCGTTTTTCTTCAAACAATCGCAAATTTTGGCCTGTTCGGGGTTTCTAATCGATCAAATTTCAACGGCATCGTATTCCTAATTGCCTCTTGCTTCAGATCCAAAAAGAAAATTTCCTAACCATTTCTTATATTCCGGGAAAATCGTTTTTATTCAAACAATCGCCAATCCAACAATCAATTGGACAATTGTTTATAATAAGTTTGTGCTTTTCTAGTTTCAATAGTCATTGGGTCAAAAAATAAAACTTGCTGATCTTCAACATTTGCTACCATTAGCATCCAATGACTACTATACAGGGTGTTCCGGTGACTCTGGGCATAAAATTAACCTCATATACTAGAGCAAAAATGATGACGATTGGTGAAAAAAATTTATTATAAAAGTCTTCGGCCATCAAAGTTCAGAAATTTTAACACATTTTTCTAAATATTTTCAATACCATTTATGGTAGAGCGTTGAAATTTGGTACAGGCTAAACAAATATCAAGCAAAATCATTGAACCAATTTTGATCGGGCGGCGGCAACCATGCTATACAGGGAGTCCCTAAAATTTTTATCACTCTTAGATAATATTGATAAAAATCACCGTTTTCGTGTTTTCACTGCTGTAAGGTTCAGGAAGTACAGCTTACTGATTATACAATTAGATTGCAATATTGCCAGAAAATGCAACAGAAAATACAAATTGATAATCAGTTTTTAGAAAAAATACTTTTCACCGATGAATCTATTTTTTCCAAAGATGGAATAATTAATTTAAGGAATTTACATAGTTGGGCGGAAGAAAATCCAAAATTTTTCAAAACTTGGAAATCTCAATGATCCTCTCAATGTTTGGGCTGGGATTGTGGGGGATGTCATTGTTGGTCCCGTTTTCTTGCCGTCCAGACTTGATGGCCCTACATACCATCAACATTTGGAAGGATGGGACGAGTTCTTAGGTGACGTTCCGTTAAATACCAGAAGGAACATGTGGTATTTACATGATGGTGCCCCTGCGCACAGCACAAATGCAGTGAAGGAATTTCTAGGGAACCGTTTCCCGGGACAGTGGATCGGACGAGGAGCGGAAGCATCGATACCTTACACCTATGGATTTTTATTTATGGGAGTTAAATCGTTGGTCTACAGCGTTGAAATTAGATCAGTCGATCAGCTCAGGCTACGAATCGTCGATTCATTCGACCAAATTCGAACGGAGATAAATGTACTGCCTAGAGTACGATTTAATTTAAGGCGACGATATCAGGCATGTATTGATGCTAAGGGAGGTCTTTTTGAACATTTCCTATAATATTTTTTATTACTTGTCTTGTTATTTTATGTATTTGTTTTATTTTTCCTGTTAGCGTTGTCGTTAAAATTAAATTTATTGTTTTGTATTACCTTTTATTAAATCAACTAAAACAAATTAAAAAGGGATTTACCTAATCTACACTTGGAAATGTTACATACATAATATTTATGACGGCTCAGTTCGATTTTCACTTGTCATGGTCGACTTAGATTTTTTTTTTAGTGTTATTGAAATCGGAACCTAACATTTTTGCATTTAACACGAAAACGGTGATTTTTATTAATATTATCTAAGAGTAATAAAAGTTTCTAAAATAAATTTTCTATTAGAAACTGCAAAAATAAATGTAGGGTTACTATCGAATAAAAAAGTTCTGAGCAAACAAATTTAGGAACAGCCTGTATAGCATTGTTCCCGCGAAATGATCCAACTTATAAATTGCCCAATGGTTTTACGTGATATTAGTTTCTACTGTACCAAATTTCAGCACATTACCATAAATAGTGTTTAAGATATTTAGAAAAATGTGTTAAAATTTCATAACTTTGATGGCCTGTATCTTCGAAATTTGAGGACTTTTACTAATTTTTTTTTACATGAATCGTCATCATTTTCACTCTAGTATATGTGGTTAAATTTGTTCCCCGAGTCACCGAAACACCCTGTATAATATAGGGAAAAAATATTTTTGGAATTTGCTAATTGTTTTTGGTAAAAACCCGTTCATAATATTTTCTACTTCTCCCTGACAAAATATTTGAATATTTTTATCCTTTGCCAATATTCTCAATGCATAATCAACGACTAAATTATCCAACCACATGTCTTATTCGTTCATTTTGCAATTGATTGTATCAAAGCTTTCGAAGTAAAGCTTTTCGTTATTAAATTTTGCAACGACATAATTTTTTGATAATTTTTTTACATTAGGAATTTGATTAATATAAGATAATTTTTTCGGCAGGTCTGTTTTAACTTTCTTTGAGTACGCCGCTTTTATGTGTGAATACGTCTGTTTTTTTTATTTCCCCAAGATTCTTCAAATTCTTTTACAGGTTATTATGCGCGCGTTGCACATTTAGTTTTTTTAATATTATATCTGACTTCGTTGTATTCACTTAGAACAAAATTTCTGATTTTACGAATAAATCTGGACGGTTTGTCTCTTAATTCATTTTGATTGAGAATATTGTTTTTAAAAATGTTGAACCAGTTTTCAACCAAATTGTTGTGTTGTATTGGTTCATTTGGTTGTTCATTTTTATACTGATTGCAATTGTCCTGAATTTTATTAAAATAGTATATTATTTCTTTTTCGTGGTCTCCAGCGACTTACAGCCAATACATTTCATGTTACCAAATAATTTTTATGTATGTATGCCCGTGTTTTGTTAAACCCTTCATCGAAGACTCACATTTCAAGCCAACCAATTTTTTTCTTTAAGAAGAATACGATGCCGTTAAAATTAGATCGATTAGAGACCCCGTACAGGCCAAAATTTGTGATTGTTTGAAGAAAAACGATTTTTCCGGAATATAAGAAATGGTTAGGAAAATTTTCTTTTTGATTCTGAAGCTAGAAGCGACCAGGAATATAATGCCATTGAAATAGGGTCGATTAGAAACCCCGAACAGGCCGATATTTGCTTATGTTTGAAGAAATTTTCCTACTATGATTTTTTTATACGTTAGGTAGTACTATTGTAAGAACTTACAAGGGTTAGAAGTTTGGGGTAGAAAATATATTTTCTATAATAACTTTCATACTCCTACAGGAAATTGTTTTTTATCCTCATTCTATTTAAATAACACAAAAGTTAGGATAATTATATAAATATTTATTAATAATGAGTTAAAAAGTAACTGACAAAAGAATTGTTGACTATCACAAATTGTATTCTACGTTATTAATTTAATTTCTTTTTTTTACGTTTTTTATTCAATATATTGTTGGCAATAATGAAAATCATGGAAAAAATGTTTTAAACACAACGATTGTTTACACCATGCACAAGTTATAACAGCTATATCATCACAGATATCGCACGTAGGTTTTTCATTGGAAAAGCAAACCACCACGGGATTTTCAAACTGTTCTGGTCTCTCCTCTATATATCCAGATGCAAACCAGGCGTATTTAAAAACATTAATAAATCGTGGGGAAGACAACTGGTTATGCGTTAAGGATTGCAATTTTAAAATATTATCTCGCTGATGCAAATTGACATCGTACTGGTAGAGAATAACTTGATCAGAAAATCTTCTAATAAAATTTTTCCATATTCTAAAACCAAATACATCCAGGGGTTGAATTTGACCTGTTGTCCCTGCAGGTATAGACAAATATTTAAACTTAACATCCGATGGAGTTACTTCACTAATAATTTCAGGGCAATGGCCACTCCAAGAATCCAGTAATAGTAATGATTTGGGTCCGGTGTTTGGGAAATAGACATCTTGTAGCCAATTTGTCATATGAGCAGGAATCAGTTTACCAGACTTTGATGCCAAAACGAATATGTTATCTGCTTTGAACATTGTATTTATTACGCTCGGTCCAAACGTACCAGAGGATTCTTTTAAAACAATGAAAAGAGGAGAAAGTAGCTTTTCATTTGCAGATATGATGGGTTGAATTGT